ACAAACTTTTTAAATGTATTTGTAGGCATACTTAAAATTAAGTTTCATTATTTTCACATTGAGTCAACCCACTGCTTTTAAGGATAGAGCTTCTTAGACCAAGTACCTTTAACACGCTTTGGATGGTAGTAACGCTGTATTAGGACTATGTCATAGTTACATTAGAATTCCTGGGTCGACAAAGCAAGTCTGCTCAGGGGCCTGAGCAGTGGGTGGCAAGGAGCAGCAGTTGCAGGGGCAGGTGAATGGCAGGCTTGATTGAGGAGATGACTACAGTTCCAGTCCAGGACCAGCCACAAAAAGGCAAGAATTTTAGAGGTAGCTAGTTAAGCAAAGTGAAATCATTTCTATTAGTTCTTAGTTCTCCTGTGTTATCTGGTGGCTCATGCCAAAAACAAAGGACTACAAAAGGCCAAATCAAAATTGCTGACACCTGCTGAGGTGGGCAGTCACCATTGTGAACAGCCAGGACTAAGCCAGAGGACAGAAATTACAGGAGACTGGCTACAACAAGGGAGGTTCGCAGCCGCACTCTACGCTTCTTCCATAAGTAAAAATACTAAAACATAGCATTTGAGAGTTGGAGGTGGACACAGGTATTATTTACTAATTTGTCCTATTACTAATTTTACTTATTCACTAATCAACAAGAAAAGACTACTGAAATAGTCTTAAAAACTGTCATAGTGATTTTTAAACATCAATGGGGGAAAGAGATGACAATTATTCAGTAAGTAGTATCAGGAAAAGTAGGGTAGAAAGCTGGGGAAAAGTAAACCTGAGTCGCTACTTCCTTCCTTGCACCAGAATAAAACCATAAAATAAATACATGGGAATAAAACTGTTAAAACCTCAGAGTAGGTAAGACCTTTGGAAGTTATGAAAACCCAAAAGTCATAAAACGTAAGACTAATAGATCTGACCACGAAACACTTAAAATTTGCACACGATCAATTACATAAAAAGAAAAAACAATGTGATAGAAAATGACTAATTTCATTAATATAGAAAGAGTTCTTGCAAATCAGGAGGGTAAAGACCAAAATGCACTAGGAAATGGGCAAACATAAAGAGAATTCATAGGAAAAAATACCAATGGTCTTAAAATATACAGTAAAGTGCTAACCTTTACCCAAAGAAAAAAAACACAAATTAGAAACTAGAGGACATAGATTTTCACTTAGGTTGTCAAAGACCAAATGATCAGTCAGGGAAATAAGAGTAGTCATACTGCTATAGTATTAAATTGGTCAAATCTATTTGGGGGGCAGTTCAGCATCTACTCCCTATATGCATATACTCATTGATCTAGCAATTCAACCTCTTCAGGAGTATATTCAATAGATGTACAGTCACAAACATGTAGTGCAGAAACGGACATTTCATGGCAGACGGTTCAGTGGCAAACGACTGGAAACAGCCACTCACCAGAATCAAGTGTCTGAAATCACCGTGGTATTCCACAATGGAACACTACTGCAGCTGTAAGAGGAAATGGAGCAAATCTAACTCTACTTATATGGACAACCTACTAGTCACCATTTTAAAGAGAAATCGAAGGTGTAGAGTCATACATGTAATTATGGAAGAAAACAGGGTAAGGTGGATGAATATACTCACATACATCAGACCACCAGCAGCAGCAGCACCTGGGAACTTATAGAAATACAAATTATTGGGCCCCACTCAGACATATTAACTTGAGCGTC